GTTGTAAAGTATTTTGTCTAGTGTCAATTATATCGTCAGTTATATCATTATCGCAAATTTTCAAATGTATAGCTTGATAAATATTTTTGGTCATATCGCCCTGCTCTAAGTGCTATGACTAATCTCATGTTAATAGCAAGAAAGTGGGTGCCTAAATATCAAACAGTTTATCTACTGTGGTTGACTAAATGACTGAACAACTCCCAGACTGAAAGAAAATCCAGTTAAGGGCTTAATACTGCTGGTACTTTGAAAAAGGATACAGTTGTCATCCCCTTTCTTGTTCTTTGGTGGGCCCGGCATGTTCAGCAAGACGAGCTCTGAGTTACAGGATTTCTTCACCACCACCTCGTTCAGTTTCACCGCTGTGTGCATCCTCCGCACATTAGAGTGGTTGCTATGTTTAACCAGAGACATTAACAAGGTCTTTAATTTAACAAAAAATCATGCAACACAGTCAATCATCTTCTAAAGTATGCTATACTATCATTCATCTGGCCACTCAAGTGCAGTATAAAAGATTGGGGATGACAATGAAGGATGCAAATGCAGATGGATGCAGTTTCCTTGTGATAAAAGCACGAGTTTTTTGTCTCATCACGTATGCATGCATGAACTAGTTAATCGCTTTTCTGCCAGCATGCCAACAGAGATTATTTCACACGTGAAAAAGTTCAAGCACATGCAGCCAAGAAGTGAAAGTTACTTACAGATTCTCCCACTCACTAGAGGATAGAGGATGGGGGATAGAGGATGGGGGACACACATCCAACATTAATAGCAAAATATAGCCTCTAAATATTCAGAGATTGTATTTAAATCATCACGCTGTCACTCCAGGAATCCCTCCTGCAACATTTTGAGTAAATTTGCAATGCCACTTTCTTGCAATATATATTCTAAATTCTGTTTATGTATGTGTCAAAAGTGTGAGGCAGCATACTTAGCTCTACTTACGGTTTCATGTTGAACATGTCTTTCACTGCCATGTTTTCTTTGTGTTTGTTCCTCTCATTCTGCAGTTTGTCTTTGGTCCAGGTCATGTGGACACGATCAGAAGTGGCGCCAGCAGCCTTGTCATTCGCTGCAGAATGAGATGCTGTGTTCCGGTCGTGAATCAGCTGAGCCTGAACAGACGGTGACATGATATAAAGTCTTATTAGTTCCGTGATCTTCACCCTTAATCTTTCATTAGGAGAGCTGATACTGAATACCACAGCTTTTCAGGAAATGGAGACATTCTAATATGGAAAGAAAAAATGATGAGAAGAAATGTCTGACATGACAGCAGTCAAGCGATATGTTTAAGAGCATAAAGTACATGCAGACTCAAAGAATCACATGAATGAAGAAAAGCCTCAGCTTCCCTCATGTGATGGTAACACTTCTATATATCACTAAATTATTAAAAACCTGCAAATTCATATGTGCAAAACCTTCTGCATATTCTTTTGCAGGACTTGTTTTTACATTTTTAAATCTTATTGTTGACTCACCTTATCTGGCTATAAAATGGATTTGTTTTGTTAAGTGGTTCTCTTTGACTCAAGTCTCCACCTGCATCTGGGACCCCATGCAGACACCTTTGGACTAGGCACACGCTTCCAAACTGCCTCAATGATTCCCATCACCAACAGGGCAGACTCTGACCCTGTGGACCTTTCTGCAGCCTTTGGCACTGATTCTCACACCAATCTTCTCTCTCACCTCTGGCTGGCTTTCTTGGCCTCACTGGTACTGAACTCTCACAGTTTCAGTCCTACTTTTCCAACTGAACACAGCTTGTCACCTTAGGAGACTCTTGCTCCACCTCTATTCCAGTTAACCATGGGGTGCCTCAAGGCTCTGTGCTTGGACCCCTTCTCTTCACCATCTACATGCTCCCTCATGGGCAGTGGTGCCATGGTTTCTGTTTCCATTCTTATGCTGACAACACACAGCTGTCAGTGCTAAACTCTCCACAATCAAAGCTCCTTGACCAAACGTCTGCATGAAATTACAACATGGATTTTAACTACCTAGCTCAAAAGCAATAGCACTGTGCTTTTGCTTGTGGCCATCAAGACCCTGCTCCAGAAGAATGGAGCTCTTCATCGACATGGGTGATCCCCCCATCTCAGCAACCCCTGGACTCAATTTAATTTCAATTTAATTTATATAGCACGTAATCACAACAACAGTTGTGGCACTTTATAATGTTATAATGTTCTAAACTTTTATTCCAGGGTTATTATAAATCTGTCACCAAAGCAGCTTTTCTTCGTCTAATGAACATCTCTTGACTTTGGTCATCGCTCACTGACTCTTTGGCGCTATCTGGCTGCAATGGAGTCCCATTTGGGATCCCCCACATATCACTCCACATAAAGCTCAACTGGCTCCTGGTCACGTCACGCATCATTTACAAGTTGCTTCTGCTCATTTATAAATCCTGTTAATGACCTGGGCCCTCAGTACCTGTCTGGCCACCCATACATGCAGCCTTGGATGATGTGATCCTCAGCCATGGGGCTCTTTTCTGTCCCTCGCACCAACCTCCATATCTTCTTTAAAACTCCCATCCGTTCTTCAAAACTCACCTCTTCTTTAATTTCTAGATTTTTTATTATTGTTTTAATAAAGTGTCGTTGAGTTTCTTAAAAGGTGCTGAACAAATCTATATTGTAGTAGTAAATTGTATCTATAAAGCACTAAATTAAAAAAATAGCTGGCCCGAGGTGCTTTATATTGTACGGTAAAATTACAATAAGAGAGAAAAAGAGAAAACCTCAACAATCACTGCTCCTATGTACAAGCGCTTGGCAAGAGACAAGAAACAGGACCGATAAAAGTTAAAACAAATAAGCTTCATGCAGAACCCTGGACACGCTCTCTTATCTATAGGTAAAATGTGTCGTTCCAGCTCTCCAGTGCAAAAATGCATGCATGATAGGGGGAAAAAATGATGGTGCATGATGCAAAACTAGTGACATTATTCTTTGTGTCAGACCTGCACATGTATAAGGCAACTGACCGCTCATTGAGAGTTCCACATCTTAAAATCTGAAGATGGGCACAAATCAAAAGATGAAGATTTGGGAGGAAATAGTCATGACTGATATTTTGGTGCCTGCCGCTCAGGGAGGACTTTGTGTCCCCCTAGTGGCTGTTTTTGGTTTCTGACACTCTGTTAGCAACATCCTGGAGGGTGAACAGCCGAAACAAGCTCATGCATACACTTAACAAATGAGTTAATTCAGAGCACTGTCTAAAGCATTCCGGCGGTTATGAATAGATTAGGATGGTAAAGATGATGAATGGGATAGAGCGACAGCTCCAGGGTTGTTTGTTTGGTCTAGTTGCCATGGCTACCTCATCCTCTGGAATGCACTGAGAGTAGAGGGGCGGGGCGTCGGCACTCGAACACTTCTTCCTCTTTATGGAGGCACGCGATACATCTGTGATGCTCTGAATCTGAGCCCATCGTCCATTCACAACGCAGTGATTAGGGGAAAAAGGTCAAAGGTCAAGAACAGCAGAACAGACCGTGAAGACTTTTGCAACACCTTAATATTTAAGCAGTTTTTCCTAAATCCTGTCATTATAAAAATATTAATTATTGTTGATATGTTTGTTTTAACAAATCCATCATATGACCATCATAAAAGTCTTGCAGGAAAACATTAAAATATGCCAAAATAACCAGCTTATACATCGCTTTACAATCATTTGAAAAACGTTAAGGATGTCCAGTATGTGTCCCTTTACCTCTCTCTCCCTCTCTGTGCGGGACAGCTGCATCTGTTTGAGCATTTGAGATCTCTGCTCCATCACCAGCGTCTTCTCATAGGTGAAAGCTGAGATATCACTGTCATGCTACAGGGAGAGAGAGCATCTGCAAATTCAGTATGAGTAGGTATGGAACTATTATCATATTAAGTAATCTAATGCAGATTTAAAAGTGAATTAAAAGTGTAGACAGTCTCACCATCTCCACTACCTCCACCACTGCATTTAGACGCAGTTGGTAGAGAAACATCTGGAGATCTTTCTTCATCTGAATGGAGTTGTCATCCATCTGTGCCACAGTGAAGATTCGCATTTTGCACTTCCTCCATACCTAAACAGAAAAAGTTATTATAACCAACCACCCAGAGCAACACGCCCATCTTTTATCCAGCTCAATTAATAGGCCACCTGAGTGCAGCACAAAAGATTAAAGACCTGCTTTTATTATTTTATTATGACTGAAGACCGGCAGGCTCTGCATCAATATTAAACTGTGTGACATTAGAACAGGGGTGGGCAACTCCAGGCCCCGAGGGCCGGTGTCCCTGCAGGTTTTAGATGTGTCCTTGAACCAACACAGCTGATTTAAATGGATAAATTAGCTCCTCAACATGTCCTGAAGTTCTCCAGAGGCCTGGTAACGAACTAATCATGTGATTCAGGTGTGTTGACCCAAGGTGAGATCAAAACCTTCAGGACACCGGCCCTCGAGGCCTGGGATTGCCCACCCCCCGCATTAGAAGCTGTTAGCAAGAGATCTTGATTTGCAAACAGGTCAACGGCTATTTACTACAAATCTGTGGGGAAAACGTTTAAAGGTTAAAAGAAGAGTAATTTTAATTTTGGTTGAAGTTGATTAAATGTAGTCCCATATGGTAATTGTCAAGTCAGAACCTACGGGACTGAGAAATGCAGCCACCTTCGAGGCGCAGTTCCCCACATGACCACTTGAGGCTGATTCCAAAAGCGACTTGATCATGATCTTTTTAACTCTCATGTTAAAATGCAAACTTTAGCCTTGTAACTTACATGTTTACAGCCTGGTACCAACATGGTTTTGGTCTCCATAAATAACAAAACACATTCACAACAACATGCATGTGGTGATGTGTTTGTAAGATTTCCCCCTTTTGGGCATTCCTATGGCTTAAAGTCAGGGGTGTGGCCGTTTTGATTGACAGGTTCAGCTTCCTCAAGAACTGAACTCAAGACTTTATTTGTGGTGTTCAGAACACTTGGTATCGCTGCTGTGTGATGAAGGATGTACAAAAGTCTAGTGAGGGCACTTTTTGTATTTGTATGTTGCTTAGCATTAATTAGCAGATATGGAAGCAGCTTGATAACGAAGCTTGCTAGCATTAGCCAGTAAGTTAGCATACACTCATTTCAAAAGGAAACTTCTGGCTGGAAGACAGCAGCCACAATGCTAACGGTGAGAACATTGAGACAAATTTTAACGGTGTATATAAATGCACTCTATTCATCCTGCTTACTGTGGCAATTTATATAATTATTGATTTTTATCTTACTTTGGAGTCCTTGTTTTTTCTTGAACGGTTCATATTTAAATTCAACTAAAGAATCTTAAAGTAAAAAGATAATTTAGGCAACACAAACAAAGACACACCTTGTGCTGACTAAGTAAGAAAGGCAGAAGCATGAGCAGTCCACCATCATGTACGATCCACCACACATCAACGGTTCCCTCCTTCAGACGCTCCTGGTTAGCAGGGAAATGGTCGATGTTCTTGGCTACGAGCAGAGCCTGATGTGCCGAAGTCGTCTCTCTAACGGTTTCTGCAAGGAGAGAAAAAAGATGTTCCTGAGCCCCGTCCAAAATCTCTGACCTTGTGCGTAAATGTGGCGGCCCTAAACACCGGAAATTATGAAAACACCAGCAAACAGAAAAATGCAGCAAAGGCACATAAAACATGGAAGAAAAAGAAGAGGAATAAAACACAAAGGAAGTAGAAAAACCAAAATCTCACAACACACAGAAGTGTTTTTGGGAACACATTACTGTGACGAAACAGCTGTGGAAGCGACACACACCCAAACATGTGAAGCACTTTTGCAGCATTTTTCTATTTGTTGGGGTTTTTCTTAAACTGCAGTCCATTTGAACTCTCAGGGCCACCGTAAATCTGTAAAACCATAAAATCCTGGCGCGCAACAATACTTGTGACTATCGCTTAATTTGTCATCTGCATCTGCAGGACATCTGGACTAAAAACATCTGTAATCTACTCGGTAATGTGTGATTACATGTCTGTGTGGTCATAATAGAAGAAATGTAAAAAAACAATACAGTAAATGTCAAATGCTGATATTTTTGGCATTAATATTTTTGTAATGACATCTTTTCTATTTCTTTACAATAAGAATGTTGCTATAACGTTAGCACGCCATTAAGGACGGGTTTTGTCCTCTTAGTGAAGTGAAGGGCTCATTAAAAGAAATGCAGTTCTGTAAATTGTTGTCCACAGTATTTAAGTAGTTATGGATTAGCAAATGATTGATCTCAGTTATTACAGCTTTTGAAGCCTTTTGACATGTTGCCTCATCGACGAGCTGGCCCCAGTGTTTTCTGGCATCTTCAACTCCTCACTGCAGGCATGTCATGTGCCTGCCTGCTTCAAGTCCTCTACCATAATCCCTGTCCCCAAGAAACCTAGGATCACTGGACTAAATGACTACAGACCCGTGGCTCTGACATCTGTGGTCATGAAGTCATTTGAGCGCCTAGTTCTCTCCCATCTCAAGACCCTCACCGGCCCCCCTCCTGGACCCCCTGCAGTTTGCATATAGAGCCAACAGGTCTGTAGACGACGCCATCAACATGGCCCTACACTTCATCCTGCAGCATCTGGACTCCCCAGGAACCTACGCCAGGATCCTGTTTGTGGACTTCAGCTCTGCCTTCAACACCATCCTTCCAGACCATCTCCGAGGCAAGCTTTCCCAGATGAATGTGCCTGATCCCATCTGCCGGTGGATCACTGACTTCCTGACGGACAGGAAGCAGCATGTGAGGCTGGGAAAGAATGTCTCGGACTCCCGGACCATCAGCACCGGCTCCCCTCAGGGCTGTGTTCTTTCTCCTCTGCTCTTCTCCCTGTACACCAACTGCTGCACCTCCACCCACCAGTCTGTCAAGCTAATCAAGTTTGCAGATGACACCACCGTTATTGGGACTCATCTCGGACGGGGATGAGTCTGCCTACAGGAGGGAGGTTGAACGTCTGGTGTCCTGGTGCAGCCACAACAACCTGGTGCTGAATGCCCAGAAGACAGTGGAGATTATTGTGGACTTCAGGAAGCACACAGCCCCACTCCCCCCCATCATCCTGACTGACACCCCCATCACCTCTGTGGACTCGTTCCGCTTCCTGGGTACCACCATCACCCAGGACCTGAAGTGGGAGCCCACCATCACCTCCGTCATCAAGAAAGCCCAGCAGAGGATGTACTTCCTGAGGCAGCTGAAGAAATTCAACCTGCCAACACGGACGATGATGCAGTTCTACACTGCAATCATCGAGTCCATCCTCACCTCCTCCATCACCGTGTGGTACGCTGGAGCCACTATCAGGGACAAACAGAGACTGCAGCGTGTTGTGCGCTCTGCTGAGAAGGTGATTGGCTGCAGACTCCCATCTCTGCAGGACCTGTACACCTCCAGGACACTGCGGCGTGCAGCTCGGATCTCAGCTGACCCTTCTCACCCTGGACACAGTCTGTTTGACCTGCTCCCCTCAGGCAGGAGGCTCCGGTCCATTCGCACCAGAACCTCTCGCCATAAGAACAGTTTCTTCCCCTCTGCTGTTGGACACATGAACAATAACCCGATGACTGTTCCCGCCACTAACACATGACCCTACGCTGTGTCACTGCATCATTTCATGTTTGGCACTGATCACCACCTGCACTCATGTATATATCTTCTTCTACGTAGCACTCTTAATTCTTATTCTCATTTTTATTTTCATGTCTATTTAAGCTTAATTTATGACAGTATGTTTGCACTGAAGCACCGCAGCAATTTCCTAATGTTGTAAACCCGCTCAACATTTGGCAATAAAACCCTTTCTGATTCTGATTCTGATCAGAAAGCCTTTTGTAATTTTCTCAGTATTGTCACACAAAACCCTTCTGTTGAGTTTACCTATAAAGTTTCTCCTTACGGAGGAGTCCCGGTCCTGTTTCCAGCCTGTTGGCCAGGCCATCAGCACGGCATTGTGCTTCATTCCCCCCAGTCCAGCTGACTGAATGAGTATGGAGAAACCATCTCGCAGGCTGGACGACACCACGACGTGAGAGAAACCCTTTGTCTTCTCCGCAGCCATGGCTGCTTTCAAGTTCTGCCGGAAGCAAGCAAGGAAAAGAAAGGAAGAGTTTTAGGTGCTGAGTGGTGTGCAATATTTTGATTCATTCACAGCTTCAGCAACATGTTGGGTCATATTCGAGCGAACATATAGAGCAGGAAAACAAACGTAATTACAAATGTAAGAGACACATGGAAGAAGGTTAAACGCAAACATTAGCATGTACAGTGAAGTCATGGCTAGCCGATGAGAGCGAACGATTGAACAAACTGAGAAACCTGCTCTCCTTTCTTGGCCTCGTCCCCTCGGGTCATGTATGTCCCCTCCAGGACGGAGCAGACGATGGTCAGTCCCTTCCCCGCTTTGAGCTGCGTGGCGAAGGACAGGAGACGAGGGTGTGTCACCTCCAGGTCTGAGTTCAGTTTACACAACACCAGCAGCTGAGGCCTGAAGACAGAGCCAAAAATACAAACGTCTAGCAGCAAACAACCGAAAAACAATCAAAGTAATTTTTCTGAATGAATGTCAGTCTGTCTGCAGACAACTGTAGTTCTTTAGAGGACAAGATGATAAAAAATGTAATGACTGTCAGTGACAATGAGGCTGCAGCTGAACTGTTCAAGATTTGAAATCAGATTCAGAAAAATAACTGTGCCGAGGTGAAGGTGATGTCATATTGTTCAACATTTGTTCAACAGCCCAAATCTGAATATTCAGTAGATTAAATGTAGAGCAGCAGATTTCTCTGCCAATCTCTGAGTTTAAGAAGAACGTGTTTGTGATTTCTAAGTGATTAAATATAGACCAATCATTATTTGTTGCCTCTAATTAAAATACTCTATTGTGAGAGAAGTGTTTTTGCACTCACCTCCAGTTTTTGGTGTGTAGCGGTGCCTCCTCTAGCCGGATGAGAGCGTAGCGTGCTGCATTTAAGGACAGACCTCTGATTCCATCGCCCCACTCCTTCACTGCCCTGCACCACCATTAAAACGGTTTTACTACATCTCAACAAACAAGAACTCCATTTGATTTTCAGAAAAAGGTGTTGTTGGGATGGGAGCGTATGTGGCTCTAAAACTTGTAGAAACCTTTTCACCACCTGATGGCATCCTTCCAGTTGTGTAAGCTGCCAATTCCTTGCACACTAATGCATCTGCATAACATTAGAGATGCAGGCTTTTGAAAAGAGTGCTGATAACAGGCCAGCTCATTCCTCTCCTCTTTAAATCAGCGAGTACAGCGCCCGTGCTTTTCAATTTTAATATTTTTATTCATCTGGCCACAGAAGATTTTATATTTGGCCCAGTGAACATGGCGGTTATCGGTCATATTCTTTGCAAGAAAGAGCTTTAACCTGCATTTGTGGATGGCACAGCAAACTGTGTTGACAGAAATGTTTTCTGGAACGGTTCCTGAGCCCATGCGCTGATTTTCAGTGACATAATATTGTCTGGTTTTCATGCAGTGCCAACTCAGACACCTTTTTGGCCTTGTCTTGTGCACACAGATATCCAGATTCTCTGAATCTTTTAATGATATCATGTACTGTGTATGATAAGATAGTTTGCATTTCTGAAATTGTTCCACATTTTGTCAATTTGTCACAGTTCTTTGAAGACTGGCAAACCTTTGTCTCTCTTTACTTTTGAAAAGCTCAGCCGCCCTAAAACGATTGTTGTGTATCAGTTTGTTTCTGACCATACCTTCTTGCCTGCACCTGGTTTAAACGCTGAATTGATCTCATCACCTGAAACTTACCCTTTGTATTCAATGTATTTGTAGATACAGCCGGCTATCACTATGACGACCAGAGCGTAGATCCAGGAGGAGATGAACATGAGGGAGAGACAAAGACTCATCCCTAAGAAGGACAGAGTCCTACAGGAAACAAGCAGTGTCATCATTACTGTTACACTCAGAGATAAGAGAGTTTTCTAGGACATGCTCTTACCAGTGATAGAACTTAAAGCGAGGTCTCCAATTGGGGGTGCAGAGCAAAGTCTGGACAGCACAGGCCAGGTTGACAAACAGATAGCACATGAGGAAAAACCTGAGAAGACCAGTGATTAGTATGAAATGTAAAGACATTAACAAATTCAGTGACAAAAAGAGGGAAAAAAGCACATACATGGAGAGGATGGGGGCTACATGATCCAGAGAGGCAATAAGGATTCCTATCTCGCAGATCCCGACAGTCAGCAGCAGAGCCCAGGTGGGCTCACCGTTAGCCTTCCCATGACCAAAGACCTGAGAAAGAGAGATCCAAAGGACAGAGGTTTGATGTAGTACTTATTTTTATCAAGGTCAAAACGGCACGCCTTTCTAACTCCTGTGTGAGAATTTGCAGCTTTTCTCTCATTTATTAGGTTAGAAACTGAAAAAACATTTTGAGAAAAACATAAAATGGAACAGATTAAATACACAACCCAAACATGCTTCCTTAAAACTCTGGGAAGCTGCGACGGGTATAATGTAACCAGCCCTTTAACAATTTATGAACTGAATCAGTTCAGAAGACTTTGTGAAAAAGAAGGAAATCTAAATTTTAAACAATCATTTAAAAATGAGAAAGTAGACCAAACATTTTTTACAGTACACATTCATAAGTTATGACTACCTCTGCCGTTGGCTTTTAAACGGTAAAAAAGCACAATAATGAAGCATGAAAGGAAGCTGCGTGTGCACTTTCAAGATAAAAATGAAAAAGGAATAGGTGTTTTTCAAAAGAGGTGATCTTCCACTAACCTGTAAGAAAGGAATGATGCCGTCGCGAGCAATGGCCTGCAACAGCCGGGGGGCACCAGTAAGGCTTTGCAGTCCCGCCCCGCAGCAGGAAAAAAATGAGCCAATCACAATCACCCACGGTGATGGCCAGGCCAGAATGCTGATGACAGGTTTCGTCTTTACTGAGAAACCAAACCTGAAGCATACATACGCTTTATTAAACAGCAATCGCAATGATAAAAATGCATTATGAGACGTTCTGAAAAAACAAAGCACCTGCTTTTCCAAACATTTAAACATTCTTACTTATCTCTCAGGACCACTCCTTCAATACAGGCTCCAAACAAGACCACAAAGGAGATATCTGACCAGGAGGTTAAGATGAAAACACTGGGACAATTTACATCAACAGCCTGTGACAATATCAATCAGCTGCTGTTCACCCACAGCTGGTGCATAAATATCACCTCATTTAGAAGCAGCGTGAATCTGGGAATCATCAACATTTTCTTCCCTCAATTCATTTAATATTAATAATGATAATAAGAAGACAAAGAATGCCCTGAATTGCGTAAGCCGTTAAGACAACTAATGGAAACAAATAAGCAATTATAAAGTCAACAAAAAGTGCTTACAGAATAAAACAGAGAACAACGTGGAAACAAAAGAAATCTAAAAAACAGTAAATATATGAAAATAATGAAAGTAAGATGTTTGGATCCTCGCTGGATGTCAAACCTTTCTCAACCTTTTAGTCAAAGTAATAAGTCATGGTGCATGACCCATTACATCTCAGTTATCATCACACCTGAGGAAACCGGCTTTCTGCCCTTCTCCTCAGACACTAGTGTTTCAGTTTCTTCAGCTGCTCTTGTAACGTAGTAACAGTGTCACCTCCGTCTCCACTGCACCTCGAGATAAATAGGTTCCCCAATGCTGACCAACAGGGATTATTAGTGGAAACAGTGGATTTACTTTAAACGACTTCTTAATCTCAGCTAAAAATGAGACCAAGAAGACAAGAAGTGGTGTCCCCCCAAACCAAACCTCAAGCGTGCCTTTACACTTGAACACTCGTGTGAATAAGCAATTAACCCTTAGGAACACCAAGAGAGTCTTGCACTGCCACACCTGATGTCCAACTTTCCCTCACTGGTCTTTCAGGTCTGGGAGGATCAAGAACCACAAGACTCCAGAAGGGCCTTTTCTGGATTTGCTGCTTGGGGAACCAGCAGCAGTGAAAGAGTTTCTGGGTGTTCCTGCAGCAGATCCACAGACACAATCGACACATTCAGGATCTCGAGGATACAGATGAAGGATGTGGTGAGAATAGCCAGTATGGTTCCTATTGGGATGGATCTCTGGGCGTCTCTGAGATCACCTGACCTGTTAGAACCAGCCATTATACCTGAAACGCAACACAAACTCTACTCATGTAAACGCATTAAAACTGTAATTCCTCACGCTCAAGTCCCTTGAAACGTTTATCCTAAATGATTTCTCATCTTTGTATAATGTGACCACAATAAATCATCTACCTGTGACAGAGGGGAAGTATATTCCCACCAGCAGAGTGAAGTAGGTGGCCCAATCGTTGAAGACGTAGTTCTTAAGTTTGTCGTTGTTGGCCTCGGCTGGTACAGAAGACAGGTTTTTCCTCTCTATCACCATGTTGTCTGGGCCATAATTGCCCCACAAGTTGTCTAAAGGAAAGACAAGCACAGGCTGCATGATCAGAATTTACTGCAGAAAAAAAAAGACTGACAGGAGGAACTCTCAGTGGACTTTTGCTTGACGGTGACGCACCGTTGATGACTTCCCCCAGGACTCCCGGTGTGGCCTGGATCTCGGTCAGGTTGTTTAAGGCGAAGTACTCGTCACAGGTTGCGTTGAGATATGGACTGTCACAAAAAAGGTTCCAGAGCTCCACATCTGTTTTTGTGCACTTTTCAAACATTTCATTCTTCAGAGTGCGATTCCCCAACAGACAGACACTAGAGGAGAAAAATGAGATCAAGCATTTCATAAATTGTTGCAGACACAGCCCCCCCCTCCTCACGCACGACAAAGGAGTGTCTACTTATTATTTCTTATTGTCAGATTAGATTCATCCATGTGCATGTGACGAGGGCGACAATCTAAAATCCACCCATCCATCGTCTTCCGCTTACCCGGGGCTGGGTCGCGGGGGCAGCAGCCTAAGCAGAGACGCCCAGCCTCTACCGGCTGAGAACCGTGATCTCAGATTTGGAGGTGCTGATTCACACTAGGCTGCGAACTGCTCCAAAGCAAACTGGAGGCCATCACCTGATGAAGCCAACAGAACCACATCATCCGCGAAAAGCAGAGATGAAATTCTGAGACCACCACTTGGCTGCGCCTAGAAATTCTGTCCATAAAAATTATGAACAGAATCGGTGACAAAGGGCAGCCCTGGCGGAGCCCATCACCCACCGGGAACAAGTCCGACTTATTGCCGGCTACGCGGACCAAGCTCTTGCCACAGTTGTATAAGGATCAATGGGCCAAACACCCCATAATCCTGGAGAACCCCCCACAGGACGTCCCGAGGGACACGGTCTAAATCTGTGGAACAGGTGCTGGCTTTACAGATACATATTGGTGTCAGAATTTGAAGATGTTCAGTGCAGTACTGAGTAAAGGACACCAAAAGTAACGGTGCCAAGGTATTCAAGATCCCTTCCAACTTTACACTTTGTTACAGTCGCAGTCTCTTGGATGTCTTATGTAAATTTCAAATACCCATGCTAATACATACGATCTTTTTTTAATAGTAGTTTCAAGTTTTATTGTCATGTACAGATAAACAGTGTAGCCACATTTATCCATAATGACATTCTTTGGCTCGTGCTCCTCAGCTTTACATGAGCCTATAGAGAGTGCAGTTATATTGAGAAGAAAATAACAGAAAATAGCAGTGATAGTAATAAAATAATAATAACAATAACATCAATAAAAAGGAGAGAAAAAAGTATTAAATATTAGAGAATTTAGTTGGTATTTACATTTAAGACATTTAGTATCTAACAAAAAGCAAAGAAAACCAGCTGAAAGAGACTACAAACTACAATTCTACTTTTGTGCAAGTTAAACAGATCTCATACAGTTACTCTAAGACATTATTTTAAGGTTTTCCTAAAAGTCTCCAGTTTCTCCCATATTGGCTTCTTTTCATTGGCTCCCAGTTAAATCTAGAATCACATTTAAAATCCTTCTGCTCTCTTACGAGGTCTTGAATAATCAGGCACCGTCTTACCTTAAAGACGTCATAGTACCATATCAACCCAACAGTGCACTTTGTTCTCAGACTGCAGGTTTACTTGTGGTATTTAAAAATAGAGTGGGACGCTGAGCCTTCAGCTTTCAGGCTCCTCTTCTGTGGAACCAGTTCCCAGTTTGGATTCAGGAGACAGACACCATCTCTAACGTAAAGATTCGATTCAAACGTTTCTTTTTGATACTGCTTGAGTTAGGGCTGGATCACTTGACACTGAATCCTCCAGTTATTAGTTTTCACTCCCATTTTCACACTCATACTTTCATTGTGTATTTATACACCACTCTACACTTAATTAGTCTGGCTCTCTTGTACTTCCTAACCTCGCCCCCAGCTGATCATTGCAGATGGCCCCGCCCCTCCCCGAGCCTGGCTCTGCCAGAGGTTTCTTCCTGTTAAAAGTTTTTCCTTCCCATTATTGCCAAAACGCTTTCTCACAGGGTCATCTGATTTCAGGTTCAACCTTATTAAAATAAATATAAAGCATGTACTGAATTGAATCTCCACTCTTCAAAAGCTGTATATCACTGCAGCATTTTCCTCCCCCCACATATGAACTGTACAGTGTGCAGAAAGACATAAGCTGTTTTTCATATTTTCCCTTCTATTTACCAGATGAAGACAAATCATATCAGAGGATAAAATACACATTTTAATAGACTATCTGACCGAATGACTCTAAAAGGTGTTTCAAGTTTCTTGCAGCTTCACACACTCGCGTATACACTTACCCAAGTACTTAAAACAAACTTTGCAGTGGTTGCAAACTAACAAACAAACTAATCCAGTTCCTTATCTTAAAAAAAGGATAAATCAGCTGTAGTACAATAAACTGCTTAAAATGTATCTGTAAGCACTGACAGTACGTGATTTTCACTGTCAGAGAAAACATGCCAGCACTTCATAAAAAGCGGTTGCTCAGTTATTAGTCGCTCACCTAAAGTTTGAGGGTTTGATGGCCGTCTTGATGGCTCCTGCGTAAGTGGCCATGATAGACAGAACCACACAGGACAGAAACACCAGAGCCAGCTTGTTCACATACCTGCAGACAGAAGGAGAGGGGCAAATGTGAGCCTGTGTGGTGTGTTCTTCTGTTTGTGTGTCAGATGGTGAATGGAAACTTACTTCACCCCTACAAACACAACCAGTGCCATCAGGAGCAGGCAGCAGGTGCCATAGATTCGCATGTCGTTGGCCGTTGTTTCTTTGACCACTTTTTCTGGTGGAATGATGTAGAGCTGGTAGACGGCAAAGAGAAAAATCAGATCGATCGAGGGATTCATGTGCAATCAGAAGGGCACTGACTTGGCTGCCTCCTTGTATGACATAGAGTTTACAAACCAAAAGAATCTCTATGGTTCCGAGAATGTACAAGGATCCAGCGAAGGTGGTTCCCAGGTACAAACAAAGTCCCACAGCACCTCCAAACTCTGGACCCAAGGATCTGGAGATCATGTAATACGAGCCACCGGCTGTCAGGAAGTGATCACAAAAATACATTTTACTAGTTTCATATCTACACATACACAAATGTAAAAAAATAAGTAATGCCAATAAAGTTTCCGGTGACAAACTGATAGTTGCCCGTTCCTGTGCTCGTAGACCAGTTTGGGCATAAAACTGTTTCAGAATGTTTTCTTTTCGCTCACAGGGATTACTTGCATAACACTGACCTCGCTGTTTGAAAATGTTGCCCATATTTGATATAAACATTGATTATTTTACCAGCATCTACATAACAGAAAATAACGTAAAATAAGGACAATTGGTCCCCTTTAAAATTGGGCTCTGTCCATTTGCAGCTTTCGTGCATTGCATTAGATTTCATATATTAGCTACTGAGAATATTCTACTGAGATTTAAAAATCCAATATTCCAACATATCGAACGATGTTTTCCCTTTCAGACACAAAACATAACAGACAAGGGCCAAATATGCTTATGTTATTTACTCGTTTGTGTTCTGCTAAATGTATAAACTGTAAGTATGTTTGTGGTATTACAAAGAAGTGTGTTGCCAACAGGGATGATGCAGAGTGTCCAATCAATCAGCAAATAGCAGATATCGGCTGATAACACTGGCATGCCAAACAATTGGTTGTGCTCTACACAGTGTGCAGAATTAGCTTGCTCTCACGCAATGATGACGTTTAAAAAACATTTTGGATGCTGTGCAAATCATAGCTCAATTCAAACTCTGTATAATCTCACTCACAATTGCAGCTATTTTTGCAGACTGCATGTGCATACATCTCTTGTACCGTAAAAGCAAATCAAATAATTCATTATGTACCTGGGACAACTCCATTTGTTGCAATGGCACTCATTGATATAGCTGTGAGCAATGTCTGCATGAAAAAAGCAAAAGAAAACAGCACAGATGATCACCAGTGGATGGTTTGTAAAAGCAACATAAAAGAAAGAAAGATAAATGAAAATAACTTTGACCAGCTTGTGTTTGTCAAGTTTGTTAAGTTGTCAAGGTGCAAGCATCATGCTCAGATAATAGTGCTTTGAATTGCAGCTGAGCGGAAGTATAATGTGTCAATAAAATACAAAGTACAGTAAGTGCCTGAAAACAGTCACTGAAGCCTCTGATTAGAATTAGGAGTGCAATAATGTGAAACATGCAGCATGCAGAGTACTAAATACTCTGCATGCTGCATGTTGTTTTGTGCAATATGCCAGTGGAAAAAACATTCCAGCATTTTGTTTCCACTCCATCAAACACAAAGTTGCCTAAATTTAGCAGAATCAGTGAAAGCACCAGTGTCAAACCGAGTGTGACTGAGGGCCAGGCTGAAAATCAGAAACACTGAAGTACAGTCATATATTTGTGCATTTTGTATTTATTGTACTTAGTCAAGAAAAATAAGCTTGATTGTCTCACTCTGCAATGTTTGAGTTTTACTCAAACACTGTTGGAAAATTCATTTCATTCACCATACAGTCAAGCTCTGTGCAGTGAAACTGGTTACAAATAGCAACAAATAAAATACAAAAGCGCAAATAAACTTTGTAGTTTCTGCAGAGATGAAACGGCGAGAGAGTCTCTGTTTCCAGGAGATTTGTTCTAGAAGGTTTCTCCAAGGTTTTACTGAATGAGCCCTTCTGTTAGGATGCTGCCCCACTAACGGGGAGGAACTTTAAGTATCAAACACAGACACAAGAAAAATGAGACCACTGGCATCATCACCTCTATTGCCCGTCATCTCTTTGGTGTGGAGCATGAGAGCGTGTCAGGGTGAGTCTATAATGTAAAGGAGTTGTAGTTTGCAGATTGTTCGCATCACATCACATGAGTGCTGAGCATTCAAGTTCAAACTTTGAAACAGGCACTTCTCTGTCTGGCCATCTGGAGCTACTGACGTATGTGCTGCGGTTGTAAATAAGGTTTTCTGCTCGTTTTGGGGACTCGGACAAAGACATTAATGCTCATCACACCATAAATTCAGAGGAGCTGTGATTGGCGTGACGTAAATCTCACACTCAATCGCAGCTACATCACTGATGGCTGGCCAAGAGGGACAGTTTGTTTAGCACTGCCACATTTTGAGACTCATTAAGCAGCTCGTCATCTGAAGCTGTCAATTACTCACGCAGATGCAGCACATGGAGACAATGGCGAAAGATCCCAGAATTCCTGCTGTGCCGACAATCCAGGTGAGGCGCAGAAAGAGAATCACCCCCAGAATGTTCTGCATGCAGGGCAGGTAGACCCCAATGAATGTTCCCATATGGGGGACCTGCCGACAGACAAACAGACATGCACAAAGGTGAGAGTGAATCTTGAATTATGCCTCATTGCACTGTTACTGAGGAGATGAACATGAGAGTAGGCTGCAACGTGGGGAAATCCAACATGTGTCCCTCCTCACAGCCACACCAAGCCACTTAAAAAACGACTTGTCATTCAAAGTGTTAAATTACAAAGCACATCCTGCACTTAACATTACTGTATGTTTACAGTGCGTCGGCATGTTATCATCTGTTTAAGATGCATCAAACTAAATCAAAGCTAAAAATAATCTCTTGCGTTTTCAAAGACTCTACAGTCAGATGTTTTCTGGTGGTTGTCCTCTTAATGCCCATCAGATCATGAGCAGCCAGCCCAGGGTTAGTGTCAGGTTTTCTTTTAGCCACGTGCCGTTTCACAAAATGAAAAAGTAAGGGAACAACGAAATCATACATCCTATATTGGCGAAAAATCAAGTTACTGACTACACTGTATGACAAAGGTCAGCGGAAACCGGAATCATCAACACAAAATATTACATTATTCACTTTTATTTTAATTACATGCGTATAAAACATGTCGATAGGTTAAACAGTTTTACTGAAGAGAATAAGGCTAAAAAAATCTGTATTTTCGAGATAACCTTGTGCTTAACACAACTTGCAGAAAATGAAAACAATTAGATGGAAAATATGAAAAATTTAATCACACAGAAGCCGTCATTTACCGACTAACATCAAAGCTCATTAAAAACACCAGCAGGGTCACATAACTTGAATGATTTAAGTGCAGTATAGCATTAGCAATGCAGATTACAATAGCCAAGCACATGCATACTGTACACGCACGCCTCCACAAACACCAAAGAGTACGTACCATTTTCCGACATGCAAACATTTTGTCCTGTGCTTTCTCCATTGCACTCAGCTGTTTGTCAAAATGCTGCAAAGTGCCTGCTGTGGATTTCCAAACCTCCCACATCTTCTCCTTTCTGTTACACTGCCTCGCTCTCCTGCCTGTTTTCTCCCCTTCACTGAGCCGTTTAAGTTAAAGGTCTAGATCCTCTGCAGAGCTCTCAGCTCTCATTCAGGGGGCGGGTTTTAGTCAAACATCATCAATGCTTCCACATAGAGCAACAGACCAAGGTCCCACTGTCTCATCAATGACTAATGTTGTTTTTGACTTTAGCAAAAGCACAAAAGGGACAGAAATTGTTGCAATGAAAGCGCCTTCTCAGTTAAAGCCTGTTTTCTGCAGCATGTACAACTTTTGCCACAAAGCAGCAGTTTTGAAACATATTTTATTGTGTGTTTGTCTGCTTTTTTTTTTTAAACCTGTGGACCTGTGGTCAAAGGCTAGCTGTTCCTCTGTGTATCCGGTTAATAAGCCACTCTAACAGACTATTGGCAGTAGCTTGACAGTTATCAAAGTCACCCACCCAGGTAACATCTGTACAGATGTTTTACCAGGAAAAATGTTGTCGTTTTTCTCTTCAGTTTGAGTCGAAGAAAATTGGTCTGATCACATTTCCATACCAGGCAGTTTATTTAAGCACAAAGGAGATGAAATCAATCTTATGACCTAATGAAGGTGGTTGTTAACATCCCTCATCTAAGTCCTGATAAAAAGATACAACTGTTAATGTGCTGTATGTCTGGTTGTATTGAACCGGCTGTCTGCACTGTATTTGTAAATCCCCAGCTCTATCACATGAAGCTCAAGTGATTAAAGATGGATAGATTTAAAACAAAAAAATCTGAACATTTAATCTTTTCTGCCTCAAACTCTTCTGTTTTCTCTCTTTGTCGCACCATTTGACCTATTTTCACTTGCTCTTGGCTCAGTTTTTGGCAACATTTTTAAAGCAACTGAAAGATTTTCAGAGTGTGAGACCTTGAGGAGGATTATGGTAAGACATTCAGACTAACGGTTCACAGAATGAGTTTCCACCTCCGGTTGATGAGGGCCTAATCTGTGAACAAAGTGAAAACATATCATTGCAGTCCATCGTCGTCACTGTGCACAGTGCAGAAGAAGGAACAAGCCTTTGGGCTCCTATTGTTCATGCTTGTGTTGCTGTCATTCCTTTAGCTTAACTTATGTTGAAGACAACAGAAATCAAACAAACTAGTGCATCTCAAAAAAATCTTATTATGAAAAATGTTCTTTTTTTTTTTTAAATTTAACTCAATAAGGTAAAATAAAAGTAAATGTTAAAGGGTGTGGTTTATAACTCATGCAAATCAAAGAAAACCGTCATTTGGACTAAATCCCCATTCAAACAGCTTAAAGATGTACGTCTTGGTCCAGTTCTGTACATGTAACCATGGTCGGGGAAAGACTGATGACTCAGAACTTGTTCAGATGACGATCACCAACAGCGCCCACAATGAGGATAAACCACATAAGGTCATTGCTGAAAAGGCTGGCTGTTTGCAGGGTGCAGTATAAAGTATATTAATGGAAAGCTGACCGGGAGGGAAAAGTGTGGTACAAGAAGGTGCATAAGTAACAGGCATGACTGCAGCGCTGATGTCGATTATGATGTTTGACAACGTCATGTTCGGTTCAAGAGAACCTTACAAGCGACGGTCTGACACTGGTTGCATCAAGAACCATTGTGCATCGACGTCTTCAGGAAGGGAGCTACTACTGTTTACTTAGCCTGGCAGGGCGAAGGACACGGTCTCAGCTGAACTCTGGACACACACGCACACAAACATATATACACGTGCACACAGATGCAGATGCACAGCAGTCCAAAGTGCTCTTTTTGATGAATGTAAGTTTTCCAACTTTCCAACTTTATTAATTGCATTGCAATAACATCTACTGATGTTTTTAACAATAGCTGTTTTTAAAAATAGTGCGCAGGTTAAAGGACAAAACAATAGGGCAGCAAGGTGTCGTTTGCATGCTCTCCCCATGCATTTGTGGCTTTTCTCTTCGTACTCTGTCTTCGTGCCGCAGTTTAAAGACATGCAGTTAGTTTGGTTAGGTTAATTAGTGATTCTAAATTGCCTGTAGGTTTGAATGTGAGTGCAATTGGCAGTCTGTCTCTCTACATTGGGCCTGTGACAGATGGATGTCCTTTGACAGCTGGGATAGGCCAGGCCCCTCTGATCCTGAACCGGAGAAGTGCAAGAAAATGGTTGGATAAAAAGACAATTAAGGCTTTCATCTTGAAATAAACTTTAAAAGGCTGGTTTCAAAGCATGGAAACTACATGTAAGGATTAAATATCTTTAATAAGGATGCAGTAACAGTAACTTAACTAACATAGAGTAACTTTACAGTCGGATACTTAAAATTGTGGGTCTGTGTCTGTATCCAAACACTTTCTAACTGCACTGTTTAGCATAAAACGTCTGGTCTCTATAGATAATTACTCCTTCACAACAACGTCTTGGGGTTATTTTTATATTAACTCAACCCTTTGAACGTGAGGATCAAAATTAGGACGTTTACAGCTGCTGTGCTGCTAATTCAATTCAGTGAAGTGAATGAAACACGAAACCTCCTTTTTTGTTTGTGCTGCCTTTTAGAGCATGTTTCATGTTATACTGAAACAGAATGTGCTTGTATATCGAAAAATAAAAACAGGATGGCAGATGAAAAAGATAAGCAGATATTCCAGACGAAAAGAAAGGCCTTCTTGTGTACAGATATAATCGGTGCTGAAGTTTTATTGCAGACGCTAAAAATCCCGCCAGAACAGATTTCAGGAGAAAGCACTCCGAGTGTTGAGGACTACACTAACGATTATGTTGGCGCAAAGCATGCATGCTTTCATTAATCAGAGTTCTGCTGGCTCAAAAACAGGAGTCACGTACCATGACTGCAGCCCTCCTGACTCCATCCTCGGCTTCCTCATGCTCACGAACACCCTGGGTTAGGTTGGTGTAATTAGCCAGTTTGTTGAGAAAAGATGAAACCATGGGCGTACTGTCCATTTCTTCCTGTAAACAGACAGAGAACATATAAAAATAAAGACCAATTCAGGCTTGAAAGCATGACCAAGAAATATTTCCTATTGTATGTTCCTCAGACTCCCTTTATTGACTCCAAGATCTTTATTGTGTATGTATGTAGCACACTTTCCATGTATGAATGACAGTGAGTGAACAGACTTTAAGATAACTGAGACCATCTCAGATTGATTTTGTTTATGAGAGATTTGGGACAAACTAAACAGAAGCACTCAATGACCCCAGTCTGACTTTCTTCCTATTGCAAAGATTTAAAAATTGAAACCATCTGGTCACACAGTCCTGTCTGTTTTCTATTAACCTTACATAATAACAAAAACTATATCTTAGATACCGTTTAAATCGTTAGCAGCATGTTTTGGACTATATGTATTAAAAACAGACAAATCATTCATTTTTAATTCATCTTACCTCAAACAAGGCCATATTCTTGCCTTCATAGTAGGTCTCTGTGTCCATGTCTGGGTTGATGAATGCAGAGGACTCTCTCCGGTTGTCATCTCCTTTTGAGGTAAAAAAGGAGAAAAAAAGAAAGAACCAATGAATAAACAGGCAAGAGGTTGACAGAATCATTAGATGTGTATTTCCATTTGGATTTAACTAACTGTCACTGCAGAATTAGCTTACTGACCGCCTCTTGTATGTTGATGTTATAACTTGTTGCTCTTAAACAAGGACAGAGTTGTAGAAGACTTCAGAAAGGTGCGAGTCTACCTGGACCGACAGTGTCATCAGTTCTTAGTGAAATTAATGGGTGTTAGTGGGAGGCTACTTGTCTCAGCATGGTAATCCCAGTGAGCAGCCAGCAGCACCCATACGCATCCCCATGACTATTCCATGTTTTTTTTTATTGTTAGCACACAAATAAATGTGTCACGGCTGGTGTGATCCTACTGATGGATCTCTGTCAGTATTATGTTAGCAACATTACCAGAACCAATGATAGTCTGCAGTCCAAAGTCTCTCTAATAGTTAATGCAAATGACCTGCATAGCTACTACTCTTACTGACCACGAAAGACTGATGACACATCAGGGGCAGTAACTGTGGTTTAATGTCGTCCCAAGGATTCTTAAGTATGGGTTTTGTTGGACCTGTGCATCAAACTACTGGCCCAGAGCTGCAACCACTGCCTTTGTAAAAACAGCACAAGACTGCATTACATGGTCCAGGCTGTATTTGATATAGCTGTGCTCTGTGACAACTGTGTCCAGTACCATTTATAGAGAATCAGGGGTCAAAGGTTTGATCCCCTGGAGACAAATGAAGGCTTTGGCCACACTTTAGGCTTATAGTTTTGCTAACAGCTTTTGTACGCCACTTAAAGACACAGTGGCTTAGATTAACATTATGACTGGCCTGTTCAGACTGGCTTCTTTTGCCCCTGGTTGTCATGCAGTGGTCTATGACTGTTAGATATGGCATATTATCACACTCACATCACAGTGTTGTAGGCTACACTGTCGCCTTGAAGAGCCCAGGGCCTTACATGGATTTAGTGATTGCTGAAGATAAATTAATGAGGATGGTGTACCGTAGATGCACATGACATAGTGAAGATTGTAAGAAAATTTCGCATGTGGTATTGAGTGAGAAAGAATATTGGTATGAAAGCTGCTTTTTCAACATTCATGCAACAAAAATATAAAAATATACAGGGAGTGCAGAATTATTAGGCAAATGAGTATTTTGTCCACATCATCCTCTTCATGCATGTTGTCTTACTCCAAGCTGTATAGGCTCGAAAGCCTACTACCAATTAAGCATATTAGGTGATGTGCATCTCTGTAATGAGAAGGGGTGTGGTCTAATGACATCAACACCCTATATCAGGTGTGCATAATTATTAGGCAACGCCCTTTCCTTTGGCAAAATGGGTCAAAAGAAGGACTTGACAGGCTCAGAAAAGTCAAAAATAGTGAGATATCTTGCAGAGGGATGCAGCAGTCTCAAAATTGCAAAGCTTCTGAAGCGTGATCATCGAACAATCAAGCGTTTCATTCAAAATAGTCAACAGGGTCGCAAGAAGCGTGTGGAAAAACCAAGGCGCAAAATAACTGCCCATGAACTGAGAAAAGTCAAGCGTGCAGCTGCCAAGATGCCACTTGCCACCAGTTTGGCCATATTTCAGAGCTGCAACATCACTGGAGTGCCCAAAAGCACAAGGTGTGCAATACTCAGAGACATGGCCAAGGTAAGAAAGGCTGAAAGACGACCACCACTGAACAAGACACACAAGCTGAAACGTCAAGACTGGGCCAAGAAATATCTCAAGACTGGTTTTTCTAAGGTTTTATGGACTGATGAAATGAGAGTGAGTCTTGATGGGCCAGATGGATGGGCCCGTGGCTGGATTGGTAAAGGGCAGAGAGCTCCAGTCCGACTCAGACGCCAGCAAGGTGGAGGTGGAGTACTGGTTTGGGCTGGTATCATCAAAGATGAGCTTGTGGGGCCTTTTCGGGTTGAGGATGGAGTCAAGCTCAACTCCCAGTCCTACTGCCAGTTTCTGGAAGACACCTTCTTCAAGCAGTGGTACAGGAAGAAGTCTGCATCCTTCAAGAAAAACATGATTTTCATGCAGGACAATGCTCCATCACACGCGTCCAAGTACTCCACAGCGTGGCTGGCAAGAAAGGGTATAAAAGAAGAAAAACTAATGACATGGCCTCCTTGTTCACCTGATCTGAACCCCATTGAGAACCTGTGGTCCATCATCAAATGTGAGATTTACAAGGAGGGAAAACAGTACACCTCTCTGAACAGTGTCTGGGAGGCTGTGGTTGCTGCTGCACGCAATGTTGATGGTGAACAGATCAAAACACTGACAGAATCCATGGATGGCAGGCTTTTGAGTGTCCTTGCAAAGAAAGGTGGCTATATTGGTCGCTGATTTGTTTTTGTTTTGTTTTTGAATGTCAGAAATGTATATTTGTGAATGTGGAGATGTTATATTGGTTTCACTGGTAAAAATAAATAATTGAAATGGGTATATATTTGTTTTTTGTTAAGTTGCCTAATAATTATGCACAGTAATAGTCACCTGCACACACAGATATCCCCCTAAAATAGCTAAAACTAAAAACAAACTAAAAACTACTTCCAAAAACATTCAGCTTTGATATTAATGAGTTTTTTGGGTTCATTGAGAACATGGTTGTTGTTCAATAATAACATTATTCCTCAAAAATACAACTTGCCTAATAATTCTGCACTCCCTGTACAGCAAGCCTCTCTGGCTTTTAAAATAAGATTACAAAAGGGTTATATACCCAGGGTTATAGAGTCGGGGCAACAGCTTTGCTCAGATTGCTTCTTCTAAGCTGGGACTACCCACTAAGAGGCAGGATATCATTGGAAAACAACAATGAGATAGTGATTATGTACTGTAAGCCTGCCACTAACAGCTGTTTAAATCCAATGGCGTATCGTAGGATGAGGTTGCTCATAAACACAGATCCAGAAAGACATTCCAGAAGCTCTTGATTGTCCCGCTTTACAACTGTTGTTAGGTGTTGTCCAAAGAGTGATGAATTGTGTGTGTAAGCATTCAAACAGTTTTAGTGACCAAACCAGAACAGAGGAAATGCCATGTTTGCTGCTGCACATAAGGTTGTTTGCTTTGGGTCATTAGTTGCTCCTTTTTCTTTTCAGCCTTTTTCTTTCTGCATCTTTTTTAATTATACGTCCGCCCTTCCACTCTCTTAACTCAAGGGTGGGCAACTCCAGGCCTCAAGAGCTGGTGCCCTGCAGGTTTTAGATCTCACCCTGGGTCAACACACCTGAATCAAGTGATTAGTCTATTACCAAGCCTCTGGAGAACTTCAAGACATGTTGAGGAGGTATTCTAGTCATTTAAATCAGCTGTGTTGGATCAAGGAAACATCTAAAACCTGCAAGACACAGGGCCTTGAGGCCTGGAGTTGGACAAATTCAGGCTGTAGACTATCCCAGCTGTCATAGAGCAAAATATCAGCATCATTTCCTAATCAGTCCATAAAACATCCAGACATGCAATTTTATAAAAAATCTTTTTGCATATACAAACTCTAGTCTGTTTTACTTGTAAATGTAGAGGTTTTTTCACTTTCACTCTTGCCCGTCTTTCAAATTCAAATTCAAATTTTATTTGTCACACACACACAACCATACACAGTATGACATGTGGGTGAAATGCTTGTAGCTGTACAATGCCCGACTATTAAATGACAGAAGAAAAGTTTTACAATATTTACAATTTACAGTTTACTACAAAAATTTACAAATTAACTTAGAAATTTACAGTAAAGAATGTGCAAATAGCAGAAGAGATTATAAAGATAAGGATTATAAATTATAGGAATTATAGGATTATAGGAAATGTGTGGTGGTGCGTGTGGTGACGTGTGTGAGAGTCCAGTCTTATAGTGACCTGTTTGGGAGAGTCCAGTCCTACACCTGGTTCAGGGCCCGAATAGCCTGGGGGAAGAAGCTCCTCCTCATTCTCTCTGTTTTGGCCTTAAGGGAGCGGAAGCGCTTCCCAGACCTCAACAGTGAGAAGAGTCCATTGTTGGGATGGGAGAGGTCCATCATAATCTTCCTAGCTTTGGACTTGCACCGCTTGGTGTAGATGGACAGCAGGTCAGGGAGCTCTGATTGAATGATGCGTTCTGCCGAGCGCACCACCCTTTGCAGATCTCGTCTGTCCTGCTTGGTGCTGTTCCCAAACCAGGTGCAGATGTTTGCCGTCAGGACGCTCTCGATGGTGCAGGAGTAGAAGTTCTTGAGCACCTTCAGTGGCAGATGGAAGTCTCTAAGTCTTCTGAGGAAGAAGAGACGCTGACGGGCTTTCTTAACCAGGG